AAGCCTGCTAAAACACCTGTGGGTCCCCTAGATGATCGAGCTATAAAAGGAGCAATCAAGGACGATAAAGGCATTGCGGAGAAACTAAATGATTTCTTTGCTTCAGTCTTCACGGCTGAGGATGTTGGGGAGATTCCTGAATCTGCACCGTCCTTTGTGGGTGATGAATCTGAGGAACTGTCCCGGATTGAAGTGTCATTAGAGGAGGTTTTGGAACAAATAGAAAAACTTAATGTTAACAAATCTCTGGGACCGGATGGCATTCATCCAAGGGTTCTAAAAGAACTTAAATGGGAAATTGCTGAGCTATTATCTGTGGTTTGTAACCTATCCTTTAAATCAGCTTCTGTACCTAATGACTGGAAGGTAGCCAACGTGACACCAATATTTAAAAGGGGCTCTAGAGGCGATCCTGGCAATTACAGACCGGTAAGTCTAACTTCAGTACCGGGCAAATTAGTCGAAACAATAGTAAAGAATAAAATTGTGAAGCATGTAGAAGAACATAATTTGTTGGACAAAAGTCAACATGGTTTCTGTAAAGGGAAATCCTGTCTTACTAATCTATTAGAGTTCTTTGAAGGGGTTAACAAACATGCGGACAAGGGGGATCCAGTAGATATAGTATACTTGGATTTTCAGAAAGCCTTTGACAAGGTCCCTCACCAAAGGCTCTTGTGTAAATTACATGGCCATGGGATAAGAGGGAAGGTCCTTTCTTGGATTGAGAACTGGTTAAAAGACAGGAAACAAAGGGTAGGAATAAATGGTAAATTTTCAGATTGGAGAGGGGTAACTAGTGGTGTACCCCAAGGGTCAGTCCTGGGACCAATCCTTTTCAACTTATTCATAAATGATCTGGAGAAAGGGGTAAGCAGTGAGGTAGTAAAGTTTGCAGATGATACCAAACTGTTTAGGATAGTCAAGACAGAAGCAGACTGTGAGGGACTCCAAGAAGATCTCACCAAACTGAGTGATTGGGCAACAAAATGGCAAATGAAATTTAATGTGGATAAGTGTAAAGTAATGCACATCGGGAAAAATAACCCCAACTATACGTACAGTATGATGGGGGCTAATTTGGCTACGACAAATCAGGAAAGAGATCTTGGAGTTATCGTGGACAGTTCTCTGAAAACTTCCACACGGTGTGCAGCGGCGGTCAAAAAGGCAAATAGGATGCTAGGAATTATTAGGAAAGGGATAGAAAATAAGACCCAGAATATCTTACTGCCCCTGTATAAAACTATGGTACGCCCACATCTTGAATACTGTGTACAGATGTGGTCTCCTCACCTCAAAAAAGATATTTTGGCCTTGGAAAGGGTTCAGAAAAGGGCAACTAAAATGATTAGGGGTTTGGAACGGGTCCCATATGAGGAGAGGTTAAAGCGACTGGGACTTTTCAGTTTAGAAAAGAGGAGACTGAGGGGGGATATGATAGAGGTCTATAAAATCATGAGTGGTGTGGAGAGGGCTGATAAAGAAAAGTTATTTATTAGTTCCCATAATAGAAGAACTAGAGGACACCAAATGAAATTAATGGGTAGCAGGTTTAAAACTAATAAAAGGAAGTTCTTCTTCACACAGCGTGTTGTCAACCTGTGGAACTCCTTGCCAGAGGAGGCTGTGAAGGCTAGGACTATAATAGAGTTTAAAGAGAAGCTGGATAAATTCATGGAGGTTAGGTCCATAAAAGGCTATTAGCCAGGGGATAAAATGGTGTCCTTGGCCTCTGTTTGTCTGAGGCTGGAGAGGGATGGCAGGAGACAAATCGCTTGATCATTGTCTTCGGTCCACCCTCTCTGGGGCACCTGGTGCTGGCCACTGTCGGTAGACAGGATACTGGGCTAGAAGGACCTTTGGTCTGACCCAGTACGGCCGTTCTTATGTTCTTATGCACAGTGACATTTCAACATCCCCAACCCTGAACTTGCATGTGCCGACCTCCAGCTTCTGGTAGAGACTAGAGTTGTGGAACACGCGGGCATTGTGCGCCCTCCCCAACCATCCGATGAAAATGTCTGAAAACTGTCCACAGTGGTCGACCAGGGCCTGCAGGACCATAGAAAAATATGGTTTCAGTTTATATACTAGGCAGCACGGTGGTTGGGGGCATGAATGGGGATGTGGGTTCCATCAATAGCTCCCCTTCCGCCGCAGTTGGGGAAGCCCAGGGCTGCAAATCCAGCCATGATGGGGTCCAGGTCTCCCAGGAGGATGACCCTGTACAGCAGGAAAGTGTTAATGGCCCTCACCACCTGCAGAAAGAGACAAGGACACAAAACAGAGAGTCAAAGGGGGTGCCTGAGCTCTTGGGAGATCCCCAAGCCTTCCCCTCTCCAACCCCCCCACAAATACCCCACTAGCCATCCCCTATTAAGCCCACTCCTACCCCTGCAGGGCTGTGTGAGGGCAGGACTGCAGAACACCCCAGAGATGATTATTCCTTCATAAGTGGTATGAGGGGGCATCTGCCCCACACTGGCCCTTTAAGGGTTAAAACCCAGTCCTGGGAGAGGGCAGGAGCAATGGAACTGTGGAGCCAGGAGCTGTGGCTGGTATGAGCCAATTAGGGCTGTATAAATAAAGGCTTCTGGAGGGGTGGAGACAGACCCACTCTTGCTCTGGCTGGGGATGCCGTGGAAGCCAAAGGCTTCCAGAAACAAGTCCTGAGAATACTAGGACTGTAAGTAGAGCAGGGCTGGGAAAAGGTAGGCAGAGCTGGGGATGTTCTAGCCAGCCAATCTCCCAGGCTGAAGGGTCTGAAGCAAGATCTCAGGGTACTAAGGCTGCAGAGAAGCAGCAAGGGTAGGCAAAAGGCAGCAGGTCCACACCCCCTTGCCAATGATGAGTGGCCATTTCAGACTGCAGTTTGCCCCTGAGGTAAGGGGCTAGATAAAGTCTGGCAGTGGGTCACTGAGGCAATGTGGGCATATTCTTTTCCTATTTTAACTTCTAAACCTACCCCTTTTCCACTAGCATTCACATCCTGTCAGCATCAATCTTCTTGATGAAAACCCTCTTCTTGGAGCAATGGGCCTACCCCGTCCTTGGTCTTCCTCTTGCTTCTAATGTGTTTGTAGAATGTTTTCTTGTTACCCTTTATCTCTCTAGCCTGATGGGCCAGGGGAGCAATGGTAAGGCCGGACAGGACCACTATAGGCATTTCATCATTCTCAATGGTAATCCCCTGTTGAACTGGGGTGTAGACATTCAGGTGCAAGCTACAACCTGAGTTCTGGCTTCCCCTGGTTTCTAAGACCCTGGGCTCCAGCTCAAGCCTGAAGATCTAAATCACAATTAAACAGCTCCTGAGCCAGAGTCCCATGGGCATGTTTACAGGCACAGGGCAGCTGTAGGCTTCCAACTGCAGCATAGATATACATTGAGTGTGAATGAGACTCATGTCCAAGGTGTTTCAATGCAGAGTTCTTAACTTTAAAATTAAAGCCAGATCAGCTAGGTCTACATGAGCTGCAACTGAGTAATCCGTGCCTGCTTTGTGTAGTGTTCTGTCAGCCTCTAGTGACAGCTAGAGTTTGATGAACCAGCTGCAGCCTAGGCTAAGAGACACGTGTCTTTTAGCTCACATGTTAGGCTCCAGAGGTCTCAAGGTTGATCTCAGCTGATGATGACCAGAGTCTGTTGGAGTTTGGTTGTGTCCTCACTCTGAGCTAAGGACATTAGCTAAGGGCATCCCTGCTTACATGCACAAAGCAGCTTGATGAAAACTAGCATGAGTATAAATAGTGGTGTAGTTATGGTTCTCATCCTGGATCTGACCCTTGATTCACTTCTCAGCTTTTTTTACCAACACGATCAGTCTGAGTGAAGAGGGGTTTGTTTTGTACCTTCTACTTAGGGAATATGAGGTATGCACTGAATAGTCAAGGCTCTGCAGGAACCAGTATGTACTTCAGTTCTTTTCTATAATAACATGGGCTTCTCTGATTTCATTGATTTAATTTTCAAACTATTTCTTCATTTACCCAGATAATGAGGAGAAGGAAGGGAAGAAAGAGTTATAAGGGAAAATAGCTTAGAAATTCCAAAATAAATAAATAGTGAAAGATGGGATGTAACCACACTGCACCAATTTATTTTTATTTTATTTTTAATATTTAGCACATTCTAATTTTTTTTTTTATTTCCTAGCTTTAAGTTTTTGGGGTTAGTAAATGTTATAATAGACAACTCCAGTTACATTTTTGTTTTTAAAAAATGGTTAAAGTCCGTGCCCCAAAAGCTTTCCAATCAAAATGCATTATCAGAATTAAGTCCCAGGAGTTGATTGCACAAAGAGGCTTGGAAATCCTGCAAGTGGTTTGTCCTTACACAATTTAACTTATAGTTGCCACTTTCTGCATGGACAGGCAAAAAAGCCTTGATTGAAAGTTCCCCTCTCTTGCTTGCTCACTCTTTCTCCTTCTTCCCCTTTCTGTTCAGTTAATTAATTTCGGTTAGGCCTGAAAACTGGACAGGAGTTTCATAGGTGTGCAGAGGCTTTAAAAAAAAAACAATGGTCACTACAGGAAGAAAAGTCTGGAATTTGGGAGAAGCCCACCATCAGAGTCCAGCATCGTATCAAAGTAACTGCACTTTTTTCCTCCCCACCAAATACAAACTTAAACAGGAAGAGGACCTAGGAAGCTGCCGATTAGATGGAGCCAAAAGTGGCCCCAATCATGTACTCAGAATGATTGTGGTGCCCCTGTCCATTATATGTAATATGCTGAGTTAGCCAAAGGTTTCAAGAAAAGGACAAGGCAATAGCATATGGCCTAAACAGACGGTTCATGTCTTTCTCCAAACAAGGCAAAGCTTCACCTTACACTGACCTTGCAATTACAGGCTACAGGGAGCAGTTATGCACTTGAAAACAGTCAGCACAACAAATGGCATGAACAAAAAAGACTCAGAAAAACTGAACACAGAGAGCCCTCAATTGGCAGGCCATGTATTTTGCCTACACTCTGAGATAAGCCTGCTCAGGTCATGGGGCTTGTTAGCTAAAGTTAACTATGAAATATGGAAGTAAAAGATCTTTTTATAGTAGCATTTCCTAAACAGATGAAACAAATGATAAAGCTTCCTCTGGAGATGCACCTTTGGTAATTTGGGACCAAAATGCTGAAAAAATAATCGACAAATAATAAATCCAAATAACTGCAGAATAAGCAAAGTGGATTAATGTGCCAGCTCTCTGCAGTGATGAGAGCAGAGTTTGAATATTTTTCTGAGCTGGTATTAAGTAGCTAGGGAAAAATTGCAGCTCCACCACAAATAATTCATGCCTGTATGACACAGTTGAGGAATATTAATAAAATCCAGGCACCCGGAGAAAGACTGGCCCTTCTCATTAGTGTTTCAGGAATACAGGATTCTGGGCATAAATTCACCAATTTGGCCATGGATAAACTGTACGTACAGTATTCTGCATAGGCTACAAACATAAACAAGCTTCCATCTCATTTACAAATCACTAAATCTTAAGAATGTGCTAACTTGAGCTATAAAAACTCAACTACTAAAATTTAAGAATAAGCTCATTCTGTGTCTCTGCCAAAGCTCGTGTGTGCAGTTTATGTACAGTACATACACAAATATACACAGAAACACAAGCCTACATATGTGTAGATATATCCACAGCAACCAATTCCCATCAGGTACAAGCCTCCATGGTGGGTAAGAGCATGTGCTGCAGATAATCAAGATAGTAGTGAATATTCTGTAAGTAGTCACAGCTCAACTAGTGACATTTCTTAGCAGGGCCTGGTGGATAGCTGGTCCTGTGGCTACTTCTATAAAATGCCACTTAAGCCTTATGACAAGGATATGAAGGCAAATAAAGCACTCCTGCTAGGCATGTGAAGCCCATAGGAGAAAGAAAAATCCAGTGTCCAACCTGAGCAGCCAAACTGTAATGCTTGTCCAAGAGATATGCTAACGTGAACTGTCTCAGAGTATAGTCATGTTAGTCTGTATCTGCAAAAACAACGAGGAGTCCTGTGGCACCTTAAAGACTAACAGCTTTATTTGGGCATAAGATTTTGTGAGTAAATGGCTTCATGCATCAGATGAATGGGGTTTTACCCATGCAAGCTTATGCTCAAATAAATCTTTTAGGGTGCGTCTAGACTACCGCGTTTTGTCGATGGAAGTTTTGTCGACAGATACTGTCGACAAAACTTCCGTCGACAATTTGCGTCCAGACACATGGAGTTCTGTCGACAAAGCAAGCCGCTTTGTCGACAGAACTCCGTAGTCTGGACGCAGTGTTACAGGCAATAACACCTTCTGTCGACAGAGTTCTGTCGACAGAAAGTGTTATGCCTCGTAAAATGAGGTATACCACCGTCGACAAAACCGCGGAGTTCTGTCAACGTTATGTCTCAGAACTCCGCGGTAGTGTAGACGCTGGTATTGTTTTGTCGACAAAAGTCCACTTTTGTTGACAAAACTAGGTAGTCTAGACACACCCTTAGTCTTTAAGGTGCCCCAGAACTCCTCATTGCTAATGTGAACTGATATTGATGCCAAGCATACTCCAGAGGGCTAAAGATGTTCCCTGCAAATGACATACCACAGCCTGGCCCCAATATTGCAAAGAGGGCCAGGGCAGTTAAAGAAGCGAGTGAAGATGTGCAAGTTTGGATTTAGGAATGCTGACTGGAGGCAGTTTAGAGACTCTTTCTGAGGTATTAAAGAGGTAAAGAGTAAGTATGGTGTGTGTACATGAGAACGAACAGAAAGGCTGCAACACTAAGCTTCTGGTGATAGATCACAAAATCTACTTCTCAGGCAGCTCAATATCTTGAAACAATATTGGTGTTATTCTGGATGAAAGCATAGAGAGGCCTGGGATTGATGTTATGAGACAGTCAGCCCAACAGATTAATGTTAAAATCTGTTGTGAAGAGATAACTATCCAGACAGTAACTGGGCATGCACCATAGTTAAATGAGGGTGTGGGGCCCTTACTGGATGAGAGAGGTAACCTAGTGACAGATGATGTGGGAGAAGCTGAAATTCTCAATGCTTTCTTTGCCTCTGTCTTCACAGACAAGGTCAGCTCCCAGACAAATGCACTAGGCAACGCAGTATGGGAAGGAAGTGGATAGCCCTTGGTGGGGAAAGAACAAGTTAGAAACAATTTAGAAAAGCTAAACATACACAAATCCATGGGCCAGGATTTAATGACTCTGAGGGTACTGAGGGAGTTGGCAAATGTCATTGTGGAGCCTTTGGCCGTTATCTTTGAAAACTCGTGGATATCGGGAGAGATCCCGGA